ACATAAAAAATTCATACAAATAATTATAGTTTTTTTCCCTAAAAAAAGGGAAACGGAACATCCTGTCCTATCCTGTCCTGATTTCATCTCAATCTTATCGGGAGTGAGACGGGACAGGACATAGGACAAGAATCCTATCCGGTCCCTATTCATGATTGAGATGGGACTGAGACGGGTCTGTCCCGATCTGATCCCATCCCGTGAATAGCCCTAATTACGATAAAAAAATAAATCATACTCCTCTGATCCTGAATATAAGATCTATTTAACTAATTTGATTAGATTAAGAAAGTTAGATAAGTTAATTAATTACAAGAAATATGACATGTTTTTCCTCAAATACTATAATCATCTTTCTTAATATTCTCTCTCTCTTACTTATTTGATTATAGTTAAAAGAATATCTATATGGGTAATTTAGAAAAAAAATTGATAAATATGATAAATAGGTCTTATATTTAGGACTAAAATTAACTCAATAATTAGGTCCTTTATTAAGAAGCGGAGGAGTATAATTGAAAACTATTATAATTATAAAAGATCTCACCAATCACTCTAGAGAAGTCAGTCATGACAGTAAATGATTAAACTTTAATTTACAAAACCTATCATAGTTTTTAAGAAAATAACTTGCTTCAACAATACAGACCATGATAGAAAAGGAAAGACATCAGTCTATCATGGATTCACAGTTAAAAAGAAATAAACCCATGACTTGCTATTTACATATAAGTCAAATGGTATGATAATTGGGCCTCAAGCACTTTTGAAGCCTAATATCACAATTCACCAGTAAATCCAATATCATTTTCCACAATTATCATCTTATTCGTCATAATACGTATCTTTTCATATTAATATAATTTCTATATGACCCCATAATTTTCTCAAAAATGTTCACAAATGTGGATCTATAACCAAAAGTCACAATTTAGAAACCTATAGCCTTAGGCCTCCCATCAATGCTCTACAAAAATATAAAAAATAATAAATAAACTAGTTATGCAAGTCTCAAATTAGTTTCACAAATTACATCAGAGTATAAATAATCCCTAAGTGCCAAGATGCAAAGTCAACACATAAATAACTAAAATAGGAAGATTGATAAAGCACAATGCAAGTCTAAACCTCTAGAGCTTTTCCTAAGTGTAACCCATTAAGAACTTTGCTTGAAAAATAATAATAAACCATGAGGCGAGTCACATAGACCCAGTAACCACAAATCAAATTTAGCAAGTATATATGAAATAATTACAAGATAATTAAGTAGGCAAAATATAAGTGTGCATAACATAAAGTGTAAATGGTTTTTTTAGAAACAATATATAATAGTTCAAGAAGTAATTTGTATGTATGAAACCCCCTCAACTATCTTTATAACATTCTTGTAACCTCTAAGAGAACCCATAGCCTTACCGCATATAATAGGATTTGTCTCTTTAACAAAACTACATCAAGCTCTTCAATAATAAGGCGTAGCCCGGCTACAAGTAACAAAGCTTACATCCGAGTATAAGTTCTTTTTTCTCTCATGTTATGGTTACAAAATATAAATATTCACAGTTTCCAACAGCCTAAAGGAATCAATTAATTTTGGAGACCTCTTTTTCAAAGTTACAGATAAAAGTGAGGATGTCAACCAAAAAAAAAAAATAGAGTGGGAAAACATACTTTTATTAAATGTAAATACATAATGCATGTGTGCGTAATTGTTTTGTCCATGTCACCCTGGAAACCCTGGAAGTTATTGTCCCTACATGCTATATGAATCTTTTTCATCATTCTTGTAACTCTGGCCAGTGCCCATTGAAGACCATTTTCTGTGAAAAATCAGGAATGAGAGTACATTTTTGTACTCCCCGTATCCTAAAATGTAATTCCCATTTAAAGAAGATAAATAGGGGATATTCGAAATGCAAGTCATTTTCGTTAGTGCACTCACGCCACGCGTTCCACTTTCGTGATTAGCAAGGAATGAAACGTCAAAACCTCTCCATTGTCCTTTAGACAGTGAGTTAAGAAAGGAAAATGGAAAAATTGAATAAATGGCTGATCACTAATAAGGCCGAATAAAATTGATTGACATAGATGAGAGGATCATGATGACCAATCAGCCTGAAACGAGTAGGATCGGATTTTGCCGAATAAAAAAGAAATGGCAGATTTAATTAATTTGATTGCCTATGCTGCGTTATGAATGTTGTACTAACAAAGAGCTTGATTAGAAGCACATGAGCTGATACTTGCCTTAATTACCATTTGGAAAAAGCACACGAGAAAATACCGTCTCAGATGTAGAGTTTCTTCTACCCTTTGCTATATATCATTCTATAGTAGGTATCATATCCTCTTCTTCCCATCAAGATGGCGAAGTATGGATGTCAATTTCCATTACATAAACGAATGCTGAAAATTCTATCTTAATGTATTTCATCATCTTTTTGGTTAGTTTATGGTTAATTATAATGATGAAATATTAACGAAGTACATGAGGAGGGACAGGTGGCAACGGTGGCAGAGAGAAAGATCCTTCTTATTTTCTGAGGGTTCTCCTTCTGCTTGTATTTCGAACTGTGAGCCCGTTATAGGGAGTGATTATAATTTATACTAGTATTTCTTTTGAGTGATATTATTGAGTAATACTTCTCGGGTCCTTAATATAAAACCTATTTAAATAAGTTTATTAGAGTAAAGAAGTCAGGTAAATTAGTTAATTATAAGAAATATGATATATTTGTCCTAAAACATCATAATCATCTTCCTTAATATCCTCTCTCCCTCTTTTACTTGATTATAGTTGAGGGAGTATTCATAAGGGTAATTTAGAAAAATTAATAAATATGAAAAATAGGTCTTATATTTAGGACCAAAATCAACGTAACAATTAGGTTCTATATTAAAAACTGGAAGAGTACTAGTTATGAGTTATAACTTGATATTGCTACCTCATATTCTGTTCTTTAGGGCCATCCCTTCCATATCAGTTGCTAATCATGAGACCATATCAGTTACCAATATATATATATATATATATAGGTGCGATCAAACTCGGCATTTTTACAACAATGAATTTATCTGTATATTCCTTTTCCCTGTGTCCATATTTTTGAGCGGCCACTGATCCAGCAAACATCCTATGCTGACTTCCATGCAGGTTTGATCCTTAATTAAAGTACATTTGATCAAGTTATATGTATTCCATGTTATGGAAAATATACCTTCCAATTTATCACATCTTTTGTACATGGGCTTTTAATGACAAACATCCTGTGTAAACTTCCACACATGATCTATAAATCGCTCACTAGTCACTATTATTTTATGGGGTATCGTCAAATAGACCCAAAATGTATACCTAGACAAGCACACAAAGATCAGTCTTACCACTAATACCTATACATGAGAGACGCTAGATTACAAACATACATACTCCGCAAACTATCCTGTACAAACTAGTCCTACTATGACATATGAATACAAATGAATATATATGGCATAATATTAATCGATGCCAAACGAGTAATTAAATCCTTAACATGAGTGATTCTTCATCCTACTAATAGTAACCACGCACGTCATATAGATTATAGGGTGGTAGAAGTACTAGAACTTTTGCGGTTGGCATCAATCTTTGCTTCAGCAATCTTTGAAATGAGAAGAAATGGGCAATAGGAAATATATCAAATGAATGGGATAGTTGAAGAGGACGACAGCCAAAAGAGGGCATACAAGAACACAACTATCAAGGCCAAAATCACACTCAACACTAAAAAGGTAGCGGCCAACTGGTTAAGTTTGCTGGCTACCAGATACACGCCTGCCAAAAATGCTAGGGATAGTGTTGTCAAGGAAATACCTAGAACTGGCATTGAGCAGTTGAGAGCAAAAGGCATTAAATGTAGATCATCTAAATGAGCCTGCGTGAGAATTATAGTTGTAATAGTAGCCCCCAAATACTGAGATTGTGAGGGAGATAATGAACAAATGGAACATGACATGATTTAGCATAACAACTGTTCCTTGATCTAATCACCCGAGATGGCAAACCCAGCAGCAAAGGATGCTGTTATTATCAGGGTTAAAACTAATACCAAAGTGTCAATTCTATCTTTATATTGTCCAGTGTTGGGGGATCCTTTTTCTTCACAAACTATTGTGCCATTTCAACGCAACGACCTAATAGAACTCTAAGGCGTACCAGCAACTTGCCTTTGCAAGGGATGGATTTTGTCATGCCTTAGGTCAGCAATGTCTGGAGCTGTCTGGTTTTCTTGATTAAGTATAGCAAGATTGACTCTATTGTCCCCAGTCAACGAATGCACAATTTTGGGATGCCGATGAAGGGTGGCCAAATGCAAAGGAGTATTCCCATCATTATCCTTCTACTTTATCATAATCTCTAGCTTAGATGTTAGAGGATGTACCTAACCAGCTCATATTTTCCACTTTCGGAAGCAACATGGAGCAAAGTTCAGCCAGTTTTGTCAAGCATCTCGATGAGATCTGGATAACATTTTATTAGCTCTTCAACTACTCTAACGTGACCTCTAATACATGCCAAATGAATAGGGAAGAAGCCATGGTTGTCCCTTTGCATGGTGCATGAAGAACATTTCTTTACTAAGTAGGAAACAACTTCACAGTACCCCATGGACGCCGCCTGATGAAGAAGGAGCCTTCCTTCTTCATTTCTCAAATGTATCCAATTTGGTTTCTTGGTTATAATGGTTTGCAACATATCTGCACAAATAAACAATAAAATTAGGATTTGTATATTGGCAAATGAAGATACATAGGACAATATTGTGGGCATATGAACGTTTTAGCGATATGTTGGAGCAATGAATCCATGAGTCAATAACAATATGATTACCCATATTTCTCTTGGTCATTACTGGAAGAAAGGGAGATTTTCCTTGAGGTTTGAGGTCATATTGGTTGCAGATGTCCAAGAGTTGCTCAACAACTTCCTTACTACCAACCTCAATGGCCACGTACAATTATGATTTTCCTTCCTTATTGATTGTAAATACTACTAAATGATTGACAATTTTCTTAAATTTAGCTTCCAACTCTAAACCATCTTTGATGAAAGAATCTTGAAAAGCCTTGAAAATCTTGTCCCCATTTTGGGCATTAACCATAAATGCCTCATGAAAGAAAGTGTTTCCTTGTTTGTTTCGCAACAAAGTTAAAGACACCACGAGCATCATTTGCAAAGTGAATTGATCTTCAGGATGACCATCTGTCTCACGTCTTACCAAAGGAAACCAAGTATTCAAGAGATTTTGAATGGCAGATGCATGGCCTGCTCTTGCAGCAGCATGCAATGCAGTATCATAATTGATGTTCGTCACTGTAAAAAGAAAGAGAGCTTGTTGAGCCACCTTCTCTACAATTGCATTGTTTCCATAGGCAGCTATTAGGTGTAGGATAGTATTCTCCAAAGGAGTGCGTTGTTTATAAATAGCATTATCAAGTACAATGAAATCTTTGTTTGAAGTAGAAACATTAGAATCCATGGAAACATATGCAGCTATCAGTAAATTCAAATCCATGTTTGGTCGATGTTCTTGCTCCGTTAACTTGTGCTTCAAACCTCATGATGAAATTTCCAATCCCCCTTGAGAATCTCACCACTCGCATTTGCACGTCCCCCATTACATCTCTGGGAGCTAGGGGTATCAGCATACTCCCTCTTGTTTGATTTTGACCTGAATACTCTCTCTCCTCCATGGATTCCCTGGCACTACTCGAGCACAATGGCTACATCAGATGCTTCACTTGATGATGAGAAGACATATTTTCGGTTGCCGGAATCTGGAAAAGGTTATGATACGTTGGATTGATCCAGACTTTGATGAATATAATCTCAATCATGTATCTATGTATAGTACAAGCATTAATGAGTCATTATGTATAATCACAGTGAATAAATTTGACATACCGCAATATATTTTAGTGTTAGATTCACCAGGCCATGAGAAGAAAACATACCTTCAATGATCGAAAAGAACCTGACATTAATGTTCCGTTAAATTCCAATCAATATTGTTCACAAGTTATAATTAATATAATAATAATTTTACTGATAGATAGTAAAACAATGGAATGACATACATACCCCTATCATTTTCATTTCCAGCGATTGCCCTATCATTTTCATTTCCAGCGATTGTTCAACAATACCATCTCTCCAGTACGGGTTCTGATCTGTCCTCTTTCATCTGCGGTAGATGCCATGTTACTTCATCTTGTCCTCAAACCAAAAAATAAATAAATGAATTATTATAAGTTTTAAACTTGGTTGAATTTTTTGAAGAGAACCTCTTTACTTCCACTTATTTTAAGTTTATAATATCATATATACATATATCAAAATATTTTATATTTTTCTCTTTTTCCAGAATATTAAAGTGTTCTTAAATTCTTAAGTTCGTGAAACATATATTCTTTTTCTACAAGCATGAAGCATATATTGTAAATATATTGAAATTTAATTATATAATCTTACTTATAATTTTAAGCTTTTAGTGCCTAATCTTCTAGTTAACTTGAAAACAGAAAGAGAGGGGAAACAGAGAAGCGTCAAGAGTTTGACGAATCAGTGAGGTATGATGAAACTTCAACGGAACTTTGCCTCTTCGTTTCCTCACTCTTCAACTCTAATTTGCTGTAAGCGGATAACTTTCATTCCATCGCTTACTTTATTTATAGGAGCCAGCCATCAGCTTCGTCCTGTTATTTCATTATCGTACTTGGAGTTGGACCTCCTTCTCTCTTTCACATGGAAGGCCCCGGATTGTCTTGGCTTTGAGTAAAAGGCGCGTATTAATAAAAAATATGTACAGAGAAGTTTAAAGAGAAAGTACAAAGAGAGGTAGCATAAAACAGAGTCATCCCGGATTGTCTTTAATAAAGAAACCAAATTATTATTCTTTTTTTGGGTGAGAAGGACAAGCTAGGCTTGAAGGAGAAAATTAAAATCCTAAAAGCTCATGCAGTTACTGCAGTAGATCTTCCAGCGGTTGTGGTCTCTCTGTCCTCCCATTATATACCCAGACATTCAGTCAAAGCCTCTGGAGTTAAAATAGTATCAGTATAGTCACCATGACCTGTCTTAGCCCAAAAAAAAAAAATTATTCGAATGGGTTATACATGATTTCAAAATATAATATTCATATATTTTTCTAACAACCCAGAGGAACCAATCAAGATAAAAGACCTTGATCGTTTTCAAAGTTATGGATATACTCTATAAAAGTAAGCATGTCAAGGCAAAAACACAAATAAAGAAAGATAATAAAAAATGCATGCCTTTTATATTAAATATAAATACATATGGTACATATGTGAGTATAATTGTTTTGTGCGCGTGTGCACGTCACCCTAGAAGTTATTGTCCCCACATGCTAGATAATTTTTTTTCATTGTTCGGATTCCTGCCAAAACTTACAAGAACTGAGAAAACGGGCCAGCCCGGCTCTACAAGGCTGGCCTTGCAAAGCTAACAGGTTTAAAAGGGCCAGTCTTATAGGACTAAAATTTCAAAAATACCTCAATTTGTTATGCTCGATTTTTAAGCAGATGAGCTCAGGACCGACTCACAGGCTTTTAGTCGATTTAATAAAAAAATTTTATTTTTCATATTTTTTTATCAAAAAATAAAAATAAACCAATAAAATTACTAGTAAAAGACATAAATATGAATAAAATTAAGTCACAAATATAAAAGATCATCATATCTAAATGTCCATCAACATATAACAAATCTAAAACATTCATTAGACATAACAAGTCAATGACATTAAGATCCAAAAGTTTCTTTAAAAGTAAACAAATGTTTTCACTGAAAAAAAGTAGACAAACACTATCATTACTATCATTAATTGTAAGAATATTTGATTGTGCTTCACTAGTAATAGGTTGTTCTTAACTTCTAAAAATACCAATGATTTCTCAGGCTTTAATTGTGAAAATCACTTTGCAATGCAATCTTGTGAGAAGTCTAAAATATCTTAGCACTTTGGATTGATCCATAGTATGGTTTTAAGGAGCTAACTATGTCATCTTTTTTTTGTTTTTGTTCAGAATAGTCTTTTTTGGTTTTGTCTGACTCGCTTGTCTAACTCTATTTAAATATATAGTAAACATTATGATATAGTCACTATAGAAAAAGTGTTAACTTATTTATTAAAATTTTATAACATATATACAAATTGATACATACCTGTTGGTTCAATCAATATAATTTTTGTTTTAATATGGGGAATATATTTTGTTTATTTTAATATATAATAGGTTCAAATAAATACAAATTTGAAATCTAATTTAGGATATGGAGAATATATTTTTATTTATTTTAATATCATTAGAGATTAAAGTATGAGCTCAGAGTGAATGAAAAACTGAAAGTAAAACTTAAAGAGAGAGTGTGTATAAAATGTTAAGGACTTAGGTTAGGATAAAAATAAATAAATTAAAAAAAGTATTGTTGGCACGCTTACACAGGCCGATCCGCAGTCCAATAAGACCGACTCTTTTATTTTTGAGCCCTACAGGACTGGCCCTTTTAAATCCAAGTCCTCTTTGAAGACCCCAAACTACAAGCCCGGCCTTCAGCTTAAACGGTCCGGCTCGACGAGCTCAACCCGTTTTCCTAACTGTAAAACTTACTATGCATTGTGCGTGCGTGCGTGTGTGTGTGAGAATAAAAGACTCTTTAGGACTGCCCTTGTAAACTAGGATGTAATCCCCCTTGTCAGAAGATAGTTAATGTACTCCTTTAGTCCTTATACCTAATTGGAGAATTAATATTGGTACTAGATTTAAGATTTATTTCACATGGTTATCAATTTTTTTAAAAAATTAATCTTATTAATATTTCCTTAACAATAATCAAATAGGGGAGAAAGAGAAGAAGCTAATGAAGATATTTAGATCCCATTTAGTATAAAACAGTGAGAATTGTATGCAATGATTGGGATTAAGGGGGTGTTTGGATGGAAACGGAACTATAGTTTTAAAAGTGATTTCATGATATATGAAATAAATATATGAAGGAACTTGCTTCCTCCATATATTTTTAAAAGTATTTCTATGGTCTTCCAAATACCCCCTAAGATTAATATGAGATGTTGCTTATAACTTGGGATTGGACTAGGCAAACCCATGCAGGTGGGATTAGAAAATACTACTTCCCTTCATAGTATTCCTTAATCCCACCTATATGGTTTTGCTTAATCCTAAGTAGTAAGTAGGATCTTAGGACATTTTAAATAAAAAAAAACATACCATACTAACTAATTTATTCAACTCAAATAAGTTACTAAGATCTTAAGTTTAGGATCAAAGGAGTATATAATATGTATAAAAAAAAAACAAAAGATGGAATCGTTAGTGCATCTCCTCAAGCCACGTGTCCCATTTCAGTGATTAGCAAAGTAAGGAATAATGAAACCCCTCTGTCATCCCTTAAAAAAAACAAGAAGAAGAAGAAGAAAGGAAAAAGTGGATGATGATGAAGGCCGAATGAAGTGGATGAATGTAGATATATGGGAGGAAGATGATGACCAGTCGGCTTTTATTTAAACGGGTAAGATCGGATATCTATCAAAGGAAGATGGATATCCAATCTCCCTTACGTTTAGCAGAGGAGAATATAATATGTATAAAAAACAAAAGATGGAATCGTTAGTGCATCTCCTCATGCCACGTGTCCCATGTTAGCCCTTGTCGGCTTTAATTTAAATGAGCAAGACCGGACATCTATCAAAGGAAGATAGAAGCTCCTTAGCTGGAGATGCGTACATACAGATACGTTTCGTTTGGAGTCCCAGAGGAGCAAACAAGGCTTGGCTTCTTTTAATGAAAACGAATTTAAATCAACCATTCATCAGCTGTTATAAAATGTCAACAAATGGTCAAATTAATTATCAAATTCATTTTAAATTTTGAATGAATATAACGTTTTAATACTAAAAGCATTTATGCATATTAGCTAAGGTGCTGAACTGCTGACAGGCGGTGTCGTCAATAATACAAAAGGGTGTGTGTGTGTGTGTGTTGAATCCTCTTAACATATACACGCGCCTCATCATCATACTCATATTAATAACCCCACGTACATTTTATGTAAATTACAGGATGCTAGACGTAATAGAACCTATTTACGTAGTTGGCAATTTTTGTAAGGAAATTAAAGAAAAGGATAATAGGAAATACTATATGGAATGATGGGCAAGGGTGAAGAGTACGGGTGCAAAAGGAGGGATGCAAGAACATAATCATCTATGAGGATCAAAATCATACTCAACAAGCCAGAGCTCATCCTATCTGGACTGTCCATAAATGAGATCTAAATTTATTTTTTTATTTTTTTAAAACAATTATTTTAAAGGGTATAAAATCTAAAATAAAAATGATCTCTCAACTATCACTTTTTAAAAAATAACTTTTGTTATATAAAAATAATTAATTAAAAAAATTAAGTCTAGAAATTTAGATCATTTAGATGGTCCAAAAGAAATGAGCTCTGGGTGCTCATCTTAGGGAGTGTTTGGATTTGTTTAAAAGTGCTTCCTAAAAATACTTTTTCACAAATTGAAGCAAATTTTTTTTATATATTTATTTCATCTACTGTAAAATCACTTTTAAAATCATATTGTAGTTTACATTCAAACATCTCTTTAAACGTCCAAACTACTTCCCACTTGACACCAAAAAGGCATCCGTATGTACATTGCCTACTGCATTCTGAGTTATTAACAATTTCCCCTTCCCAAATACAAACAAATTCCTTTATATATATAAATATATAGATATAAGTCTCATGTAAAAAAGTTAAATACCCAGGATCATATTTAAAAACATGATATGGATAACCTTTGTCAAGAGAATCATATATCCCCCTGATTCCCTATCCATCCGCCTTATCCTAGGCATTTTATGTACCTTTTCTGGATAACTGTTTTGAGTCCTTAATTAGCTAGGTTTGTGGACATCAAAACTGTTGCTGGATGATTTCTCTGTTTCGAGATTTCTCTGTTTTTATATTCTTCTTACCGTGCTCCTTAATGATTTCACACCACATTTTCTAATTTAGAAGTCCATAAGCATTTAATCTCATCATAGATGAGATTTTCTCTTATTGCCACTTACTGCAAAGAGGATATTTTTATTTGATTTTTCTTTTTAATTTACTGCAAAGACAGAGAAAAACTCGACCTAAAAAAAAAAATCAAACAAGATCTTTTCTTTATTATCTTTTTTGTTTTTTATTTATAATTTATTGTGGGCCTGAACAGTAGGCATCAATGCAAAGCCACGCAAATGGGAACAAGATATTGGACATATTATGAATTAGATCGAGCCTCGGCATTCAGATTTCACTAGATAAGCCTCAATATTTAGATTCTACCTCAATGTAAGAAGCGGCATAAACACGAAGAAGAAAGCGTGAATGAAAAAGGATACACTACGCAATAAACTTTGTGTTACGGGAATTTACGAGCTAGTAGCATTTGCTACTTAATTAAGTGAGAGCAATTCGAGCGAACTTGACCATATGCTTATAATAATTTTGGATAAGCTATGAGAAAACCAATTGTGATTAATTTTGGGGTAAAGCTGTGCAGAGATTCTGAAAGATTGAGCTACAGGCAAATTCATTGTCGGAATTATACTTTGTAATTTCATAATGAGCAATTTTAATTTTTTGGAAACTTTCAGGAGACTGGACCTAAATCGTAGAATCGAACATGCATTTATTTTCAGTTGTCTACATTTATACAAGCACTCAAGGTCCCAAAGTGAAGCTAATTTATCAAGAATACTTAAGAGAAACGTTTCGAATTGTTGATTTTTCACTAGTCGAGATGGCTGGCTTAAGACTAATAGTTGGTTAATTGATTCTTCGCTCTTTCTGAGAGTTATTAGCATTTATCAAATCTGTTCCTATGAAATGAAATGCTATTATTGGACTGAATGAATGACAAAGATGAAAGATTTTGGGACGTGCCTAGGATCCGAATATGCCCATGTAATATAGAATTACTATATGGACACTAGGAATTATACAACAAATGACACCAAATAGAAAAGAAAGAGCACACAGAGTTGAGAGAGCAGTTTCAAGGAGAAGTTTTTCTTAAGCTCCATTAACTGACTCTCTCTCAATCCCATATCCCATATATTATGTACGGATAGTTACATGAATTCAATTTAAATCATAAAGGGAAAACTACTGCAGTTGTCCCATATTTTCCTTTATTCTTATTTGAACCCCATTGGTATTGGACTTAGGCCCTAATCCATTAAGAGTGGACTAGATATAATCCAACATTTTTTACTTACACTTGGTGGATTAAATATTGTGAATCCAACCCTTTTCTTTTTCTTTTTTTCATACTAGGTGTTTTGTCATAGCGCTTCAGTGTTTCTGATGGGGAGTTTATTTTATTATTACGCTTCAAATGTTCTAGATTCACCCATATATACTTTTTTCATGGCTAATCTAATTCCTCTCAAGTCAATATAAAACTCAAATTACTTTTCTCATATGCATTGTATGTGTCCACACTTATAAAATTAACAAAATATCATAAAGGACGGGTCTCAGGCGCAAGCATAGGAGTAGAGTTCATATATATATATATATATATATATATATATCTCTATCATGACAACCACAAGAATTAGAACCCCACTCAACACACCTGCCAAAAATGCCATGCCACGAATAGTGCCGCCGAAGAAATACCAAGATCATCTAAACCAGCCCACATGAGAAATGTAGTTGTAATAATAGACCCAAAATAAATAAAGACAATGCGAGGGAGATAATGAATGAACAAATGGAACATAGCATGATTTAGCATAACAGCTGTTCCTTTAACTACATCAACTGAATATATACTTCTCCGATCCTTAATATAGTACTCCTCCGGTCCTTAATATAGAACCCAATTGTTGAGTTGGTTTTGGTCCTAAATATAAGACCCATTTTTCATATTTATCAATTTTCTCTAAATTACCCCTATAGATACTCCTTCAACCATAATCAAGTAGAAGAGAAAAAGGAGTATTAAGAAAGATAATGATGGTATTTTAGAAAAAATGTGTCACATTTCTTATAATTAACTAACTTACCTAACTTCCTTAATCTAATCAAATTAGTTAAATAGGTCTTATATTAAGGACCAGAGAAGTACTTCCATTCAAAAAATATATACTCTTGCGCTGCTTAATATAGAATCTAATTGTTGAGTTGGTTTTGGTCCTAAATATAAGACTCATTTTTCATATTTATCAGTTTTCTCTAAATTACCCCTATAAATATCCACTCAATCATAATCAAGTAAAAGAGAGAGAGGGGTGTTAAGAAAAATGATTATGGTGTTTTAGGAAAAACATGTCACATTTTTTATAGTTAACTAATTTACCTAACTTCCTTAATCTAATCAAATTAGTTAAATGGGTCTTATATTAAGGACCGGAGGAGTAGTTAATAAGAGAGTTCATATTAGTCCTATATATAAGATCTATTTCATATATTTATAAATTTTGTCCAAATTAATCCTATTAATATTCTCCCAATAATAATCAAGTAGAAGACCAGGAAGAGAGGGAATTAAGGGAGATACTTAAAATATTTTAGGGAAAAAAACATATCGTGTTAACTAATTTAACTAACATTTTTAATTTACTCAAATTAATTAATTATATCTTATATGAAAGACCCAAGGAGTATTTAATAAGAACATGTACATACACTATGCAAGTAATTTATTTTGATCTAGGTATTATTAAATTCATAAAATATATATTCTAAATGCATTGACATTTAATCATATAGTCTTCTTTCATTCACAGAGAAAATATATAAAATGACCCCGTTTCCAATAATATAGGTTGCAGCAGCTCAAAATGATATAAATTAACTAAGTCACAAGTGACAACTTTTTATTTTATTATCCAGAATACATATAACATAAATTACTTTATTATATCCATGTGGTAAAGATGTTTTATCTATAAAACATTCTGTTTAAGAAATATTATAACAAATAAAGTTATTGTACATATTTTAATTAGCTAGAAATGAAACAAAAGAAAAACACACATAAAATACGGCGAATCTCCCACTTTCTCTTTGGTTGGAGGGGTTTGGAAGAGAGGGCCCAGTACCAAAAAATGACTCTCGATCACGATTTACATAAAACATGTTTATAAGTGTTTAGTTAAGGTTTTATTTGGCATCACTTTTAAAATCACTTATAAGCATATTTCATTTAAGTTGAGAAAAAACTTTTCTCACATACTTATCTCATATTTTGTATTATAATTCATTTCAAACGTGCCCTAAGTAATTCCATAAACAAGAACCATCTGTAGCCTCTTCTTCGTTTCCATAATATCTTCAACCGTGAGTACTAGCTCCATCGCTTCCTCTATTTATAGGAATCAACCATCAAGTTATTACTTCATTTTAATTTTAATTTGTATATTAATTTTTTGTCACCGTCCATTCAATTAAAGGAATTCAGGCATTTGTTATATTCATAAATGTTTAAACTCGTAATTTAGTGACAACGTTGTTGCCTTAATATCTAAAACACTCATCACAGGCAGCGATCAACTTTGTTTACAACAAACCCAACTATATTCCAAAGGCTCCTATTACCGTACAAGGTTTGTTGTAGGATGTCAATAAGCTATAGACGAGTGTTCAGGTAACCTTTATTACAAAATTACAACTTTCTGGTTTAAATAAAAGTTTTTTTTTTCAATTTTCCAACAAAGCAGCGCATCTCCAGTAGTCTAACACCGCATCTCCATCTACAATGGGGTAAAAGAGGCGCTATGAAGATGATATGCTTCTTGCAACAGGAGGAAATATAACCCCAAAATGTAAATTTCTTTATACAAAAGGCATTTTGCAAAATGTTACCGCTAAAAATCAATTTTTTTTGTGGTGTAACCACAAAAATCTCGGTTTCATCAACTGAAATTTATAACGTACAGCTTAACTAGAAATCCCAATAAGAAGAAATTAAAAAGATTACTATTATTTTATGGGTGGCCGAGAAATGAGTGAATCCATCTAACTCTAAAAGGCATGGGATATAATTTCCTTATAGCCATGAAAATTCAATGTAACTTGTTCTTTCATTGGGGGAGTTTGAAAATGATAATTAAAACTTAAGGTTCTTGTCTCCAGGTTTTAACATCTTGGCGGCCTTTTATGAAAGTTAACATAGGGGGCCTGATTTATGTTGATCTGGAGAGATCGGGATACAGACCTGATATGAAAGTAACAAGGTTGAAGGAATATCAGGAGGGGCTAGAGAGAGATTGTTTGTACTTTCTGAGGGTTTTTCTTCTGCTTGATATATTTCCATTTTCAGGGCAGTCCATATGAGTCACTCGTCATCAAGAAATCTATAATTACAAAGGAAGATGCGGTGTTAGACTGGAGAAGCATTGGTTTTCTGCAGGAAAATATACATCCTTAGCTTGAGGAAATCTGTTACGAATTATCCCTTCATTTGGAATCGCAAAAAACTGGCTGGCCAGGCCATCTTTTAAAGGTTTGGATTATTCTTTGCCACCACCTCATCAATTGTTGCTGCCATGTTTCTGCTTTAAATCATGTTGCTTGCATTTTGTTACATGTTGGCTTTATTTTCGATTTGCGGGCACTACAAAAAAACAAGCTATTAGCGACGAAAATTCCGTTGCTAAATCGATTTGCAACGGAATTTAACGACGGAATTCTGTCAGTAAAGTATTAGCGATGTAATTAGCAACGGAAAATGTTCTGCCGCAAACAACCTCGTCACTAATTGGTTTAGCGACGGACTTTGTGTTCCGTCGCTAATTTTGCGACAAATTTGCGATGGATTTTCCGTCGCTAATTTTGCGATGGATTAGCGACGGAATACTCCGTCGCCAATTCCATGGCAAATAAAGTAGGATTAGCGACGAAATAAATATTGCATATAGCGACGGAATTCTACGTTATTTGCCACGGAATTAGTGACAGAATATTCCGTCGCAAAGTACCGCATTTAGCGACGAAAAATTCCATCGCTAACTTGCTATATTTTGCGACAGAATTTTTCGTTGCTAACTCACACACATTTGCGATGGAAATTCCTTGCAAATCAGTTGCAAATTTTTTTTCTTCAATTTTTATGCTTATTTTTTGATTTGCAACAAAATTTTGTCAGTTATTTTTTTAAATAGGCTTTTTTTTATAAATTGTTTAGAAAGAAATAAATTTCATGATAATAAGTAAAGTTTTTAAACTGCAAATAGTTCAATTTTTTTTATAAGAGACAATTTGGAATTTAAAAATAATCCCATACAATAAAATGTCATAAATTTAAGAACATTAAGGTTAAAACCTCAAGTATGAAGAAAAAGGCATAATAAGTAATGCAAAATGAGCCACTCATATCACTTTGCTCATTTTGATAGTCCCACACGAAGCCTCAAGTATGAAGAAAAAGGCATAATAAGTAATGCAAAACAGAAATTGGCAACAAGCACAACTTACTGCCATCGTCACCCTCCCAGCCTAGGGCATATTGGATGTGGCTTTTAACTATATAAGTGTTTGTTCTCATAGCATCCTTATTATGTTGATATGAGAAAATGTTTGACCAAGTCGTATTCTACATTCAGTCGGGGCAAACGTAATAAAAGGAAACCATATCGGCTATACATTGCCAGAATACCTTCCTTCCTTTAATTAGCTTCTTTTCCAGCTCTGCTTTGGCACGTAATCGCCTACGCCTCATAATTCCATGGTATTGCTTGGCATTAACGTAAACAAGCTCCTTTGCAATTTCCAACGGTAAGACCATTTGCGTGGTATGAACTCCTATACCATGAGAATGCACCTAACATAGTTCCCAACAAAAATGAAGAGAAGTCAGATTAAAGAAAAATCTTTTTCTGGTATGATCACTAAACAATAGAAAAGCCAGAAAAATCACACAGCCTAAGCTACAAAGTCTACAATAACATTAATATTAACTGTAAAATGATCATCTCTAAGCATCTAAACAAGGACAAAACCTAGGAGTAATTTTCAAGTATTTGATATTAGTTGTACTAACAAACACATTATAAGTTGAACTTTTACATTATTATATGATTGAATCTTTGAAAAACAAGTGTCTCCACATATAATATGTTCATTGAAAAACCTCAGCCCACGCCCAAGACACAGTGCCATGTGATGGAGGCTAAATGTGTGTTTTGTGGTGGCTATTCGTTTCCAGTGAGTTCTAGCCAAGTGTAAAGTGAATGGAACGGTTGTAACAATCGCTTTGCTAAAAGTTGAGATTCATCTTCACAACCTTCCCATAAAGGTTTTTGTGCAGCACGTAGCATGTCATAAAATGCTTGTGCATCAGGATTTGGCATCTCTTCAACACCTTTATTATAGTTATCCTTAAAACTCGGCCCAGCTGCATCCATCACCATGGTCTCATATTGACTTAATTGATCACCAAGTGGTCCACCTAGCATTGGAGACATGGGTGAATGATATTTTATACTTCTCTCACCATGACTAGTCCATATATAATAGTCTGGCATGAATCCATATTTATAAATATGTGTCTTCACCTCATCGAGAATGAGATATGGCCTACATCTACATTTCACACATGGACACCTAAGCTTCCCTGATTTTTGGCAATAAGGTGATTGCATTGCATAAGTAAGAAACTCCTCTACACCTTGCTCAAATTCTATTGTAACCCATTTAGTACACAGATCTATTCTATTGTACATCCATCTCTGATTTTCTGGGCCTTCCATTCTAAGAAAGAGGTGTGCAATAATAATATGTAAGAACTAGAGAAGACAAGTAATATATATGGCAAACAAATACACACACACACACATATATATATATATGAATAAGCAAAGTTAAATGTCAACATTTGTATATGAAGAAACTAGTAAGTTTTATTTAAGGACAACTCCTACCAAAGACAAGACTTGCTAAACAATCATTAACAGATAGCTTTGAAGTACCCAAACAAAACTAAAAAAGATTTTGAAAAATGTAAGAGATAGGAATGTATTGAGACTACCTACCAACAACAATCAAACAACATATATCAAGCTAGATAAAAAAACAAAACATTATACGTCAACCCAACTAACAGTTAAATGGTCACCTTACTTAAATAGTTCTACAACTTGTGTTTGGGTTGCCACTAGACCTCTAGCTAACTCTATCAAAGGAGCTGCTGTATCTCAAATTATTATAATCCAACCCTACACACACAATCAGGTCAACAAATTAAAACCAGAAAAAAAAAAACATTCACCAAGCAACCAAGCATTTCAATAATTGGTAAATATAATATAAATCAAGCACAAGCAACCAAGCATTTCAATAATTGGTAACTCTATACATAGACAATATATACGTACATCATAAGTCCCTTAATATTCTAAGCAACCAAGCATCTCATGTAATGACAGATTTTACATGTATTTGCCCAATTATGGCATTGCAAAAGTGATGTAAATCTGCATAATAGTTATGGAATGCTCAATCAGTAGGAAACTGTTTTGCTGTTTTAGGTAATAATGCTCATAATGTTTGAGGCTGAAATTATAGGCATTTTGGATCAGATGTTTGCAATCTTTTTAAGTTGTAATCTGCTAAGGGATTAACATCTCAGCTCTTGTTTGTTTCCTTTGGAATGATCAATGCATATAGTTGGGGCTAGGCCTGTAGTAATAACTCAAAATCATATTCTAATCTGATAGGATCTTTGACCATCCTAATGAAATGACATCCTAACAATATAAAATTAATAATACAATCAGGAAAAAAATTAGAAATCATTAAAGCTAATAAAACATAATAAATTAAAGAGCTAAAGTTTTAGTGTTGAAACTGCATGCATATTGAAAGAATTTTGTAAAAGTATAGGTTTAGTGTTGGAATTCAATTGATACATGTTAGTATCGATATACTGGTCCCCATGAGGTTCTCAATGAAGATTCCCCTGCTACAAGTATTTTTAATTTCTTTTAAATCATGATGAGTCTGATACATCATCTGCTTGCTAGATTAATAGTATTCTAGTATGTTTTGGCCATATCCAGGCAATACTCTTCATTTATATTTTACATTGACAGGCTCATCATAAATTACCAAATGCTTTGAAGCATTGCAACTATCAGAGTGAAATCTATATCAGCTTTACATGAGGGGGGATTTTTTTAGTTAGGTAATTGAATCTATAATGCAAATAAACAAACTAGGATGCTTTACACATGATTAACTTGCAACATTCTCATTTCATGAGTTTTACGTCAAGAGCAACCAAATGCTTGTGCCATCACCATTACACAACACTCATCCACCGACTATGATGAACGTAATATGGAAGCAACAACACAATTAGATGTTTGTACTTTGATAGCTCGAAGAATGAGCTTTCTTAGATAGAAGCCAATTCCAATAATACAACAATAAATATAAAATGAATAACCAAAAAAAGCAAATGAAAGCAAAAAGGCCCAATTTACAGAAGTTACGAATAAGGGTTGGGAATTACAGATGTTTGTATACAACAATAAATATAAAACGAATATAAAACTCCAATAAAAAAGCATATATATCAAAGACCAGTATACATTAAAGCTTGCCTAAATGTGTACCTCATTTTCCATCTCCCAGAATGTTGCAGAGAATCCAATCAACCAAATGAAGTGCTAATCCTTTGCAATGTCACTAGTCAAGGCAGTACTAAAAGGCAGTCACTTAGTACCAGTAGAAATATTTTCAACAAAACTAGAAGGGAGATCTGAACCTTGAAATAAAAAGTAACCCACAAATAAAATGAAATCTAAAAGGGAATCTGAACCAGAAGATGAAAACAAGAAATAGAATGCCAAGAAGCTACCCAGACGAATCTGAACGCTGACGATGAAAATAAAGGAGGCTGACAAAACGGAATAGAATCTAAACTTTGAAGAGGAGACCGAAGAATGTGAACGGACACAACAACGCAAACAGAAGGCCGACACTCTGAGTCTCAAAACCTGCACATTCAGGCGCGATTTGATCTGAGGAGGAGAAATGGAAGAAGAGTAGGAGTGGAGGATTGGAGGCGCCTTTACTGGACTGGCAGACGATGGTGAAGGGGTTTCATCAGAGAAATAAACCCTTAGGCATTGAGGAAACCCTTAGAAGTGGTCTGGCTCCTCCTCTTGCGATTCTTGTAATTTTTTAAAAGAAGAAAATTAGAAAAAAATCCTAAAGAGAGCAAATTTGTGATATTTGTGGAGGGAAAATGAATTTTGCCTTTGCAAACGGAGGGAACATGCGAATATTTTAGAGGGGCAAGATTTTTCACACACATATAGATATAAAATCTAATTAAATGTTTCTTCAGTAAAAAATTATAAAATAAAATTGTTATTATAGAAAATATACTTAGCATTAAAATGATAAATTAATTATTAAAATTATTCCTTTTAATTATAATACCTCTCTCTCACATATATTATCTCACTTTTAATTATATCACATCTGTCTCTCACACACTTTATCTCTCAGTACCTTCCCTCTCAACTTTCCCTCCTTTTTTTTACTAGCAATTTTTGCCATCTAAGCATGTAATTAGAGAAAATTAATACATACCTCAAAACCTAAATAGTAATAATAATATAGAAATACTGTCCAATAATGTTAAACTAATATCATACATATATATAGTGATATAAATATAAGATATATCAAGAAATAAGCATTAAAAAGAATATAATAATGTTAAAATAAAAAATATAAATATAAGACACTTCAATAATAAAGATTTAAACTGCAGTTTATTCAAAATATTTTTATCAAATTTAATACAAATATATTTGAAATCTTTGACAATAAAATATAGATATATTTAAATATGAAATTTACAAATTAAAATTAATCCACAGGATTATAATGATAGGGGCAGAATCTCTAACTTATATGTTACCAGGACGAAATTTTTTTTTTTTAAAGTAAAGTTGTCAAGCTTTTTAAGATATTCTAATCAAATATTTTTAGATCTAATAAGATTTTTCTTATTATAGTCTTAGAACTACTCTATAATCTCTAATTTTCTTTTCTAATTATCATTTCTCAATTTCAGGATGACTAAAAAGAAATTCAAAATATTTATAATTATTGTTTTAGACATTCAAGATATTGATTCTCTTTTTATACTTTACCATCCCCTCATTTATCTTAGATATTCTTATATATAATTTCATTATCAAATGAGCATTTACTATTACTGCAAGTTGCAAACGAGAATTAGGACACACACACACACACTATAGATTATATTTAATAACATGGGCCATCAGTTGAGTAATTCAGTCAAATAATGAAGCTAACCCAACATACTCGCTTTTGGATCTAAACTAACCTTGCCAAAACTTCTTTTGAACTTTCTTTTTTTCGAACAGATCAAGTATATGCAAATTGAGCTAAATTGACCTCGTTATTAGGTTTCCAGCTTAACTCTACAGTTTATGGCGCCCTTATTATTCATTCAATGAAAATAAGTCAATAAATAATATTTCAATATGTTGTTAAATAAGTTATCAATTAGGTAAAAGTTCAACATGTCTTTACGTTTTCCACATATCTCATCATATCTAAAGAAACTTTTCACATATCTTATCATATCTAAAGACACTTATTTGACACTAATGTTGAAAGAAAGAGCAGCAATCTGACAAAAAAATTAATCATATTGTAACAAGAAAATAAAATCATATTACGAATTATATTCAGATTTTTAATTTAAGTTCACAAGCTCAAAAAAATATAATCAATTTCAAAAAAGTGTCTAATAAGGATATCAATTTTCTTCTATTTCCCAACAGAAAATATGTATAAATAATTAAACTATTATATTTTTTATATATAGATATATAAATTGTTAAAATACATGTCTAAATAATTACACTATTATATTATATAAATTTTTCAAATTTTATAATCATAATGTAGAATTTTGTGAATTTCATGTTAGCGATGGATTTTGTGACAGAATTTTGTAACGGAAACAAATTCCGTCAGAAAATCTGTCACAAATACAAAATAGGAGTAGAAATTAGCGATGGAATTTAGCGACGGAAATATTCTGTTGCTAAGCCTATTTACTGACGGAATTTGCGACGGAACTATTCCGTCGCTAAAGTCCGTCGGAAATCCGTCCCAAATCCATCGAAAAAATTACCGACGGAATTTCCGTCGAAATTCCGTCAGAAATTAGTGACGGAAAATATTCCGTCGCTAATTCCGTTGGAAATTAGCGACGGAATTTTTTTCCGTCGCTAATTCCATCGACTATTTTTTTGTAGTGGGGTAATCATCTTTTCAGACTCTCGGGTTGTGAACAACAGGGCTAGATTACTATTTGGAAAAGGCATAAGAAAATACTGCATCAACTCTAGGGCTTCCATTGGTATCATGCTATAGTAGATATCCTCTTCTTCCTATCAAGAACACAAACTATGGATGCCAATTTTGATGACATAAATGAATAATGCTAATATATCTGCACCATTGTTTTTTTTTCCCGTTTATTTACGGTTACGACAATGAAATATCAACGAGGCATATTAGGACGGACGGGTGGCAGTAGTGGTAGAGAGAGTAAGATTCTTTGATGGTTCCTCGAGTTGTCAGAGCTTGCAATAGGGAGTCATTATAATTAATTTACGTCTCTTTGAGTGATATTGAATAATAGTAGCTATAACTTCATACTGCTAGTTCATGTTTTGTTTTTTTGGGGACTATCTATATCAGTTACTAATTATGAGACAATATCAGTGCCAAATACAATTAGACAAAGCACACAAAGATCCCATTTTTACCACTATTATTCCATGTATAGAAGCGACACACAAGATTATAAGCCATACATCTACCAACTATCTTGAACAAGCTAGTCCCACGACAATGCATCAGATGAATACACACACACGACATTATATTAACAGACACTAGACAATTAAATATACTTAATATGTGTGTTTCTCTATCCTGGCTTGCTAATAATAACCATGTACTTCATCTAGATTATAGGGTGCTAGAAGTACTGGAACTTTTGTGGTTGGCATCAATTTTCACCTCGGCTATCTTTGCAAGGAGAAGAAAGGGATAATAGGAAATATATCGAATAAATGGTACGGTTGAAGAGGAGGGCAGCAAGAGGAGGGCATACAAGAACACAACCATGAAGATCAAAACCACACTCAACACCAAAAATGTGGTAGACAACCAGCTTAGTTTGCTAACTACAAGATACACGCCTGCCAAAAATGTCAAGGATAAAGCCGTCAAAGAAATACCTAGAATTGGCATTGCGCACTTGAGAGCAAAAAGCATTAAATTCAGATCATCTAAACGAGCCCACATGAGAATTATAGTTGCAATAATAGCCCCAAATATAGAGGTTGTGAGGGAGAGAATGAACAAATGGAACATGACATGATTCAACATAATAGCTGTTCCTTGATCTACGTCACCCGGCATGGCAAACCCAGCAGCGAATTCTATCTTTGTATTGTCCGGTGTTGTCGAATTCTTTCTCTTCACTAGATAAAACTGTGTCATTTGAAAGCAACATGGTGGACGAAATAAAACTTCGAGGCGTACCAGCAGATTGCAATGCATTCCATGTAAGTCTCTGCAAACAAACACTTCCATTTTGGTTACAACATTAAATCTTTGAAAAAGAACTATGGTTTTGGGGGGCAAAAAACAAACAAACTGTAACTTGCCTGTGCGAGGGATGGACTTTTGTCATGCATTAGGTCAGCAATGTCTAGAGCAGTTTGATTTTCATGGTTAAGTATAGCAAGATTGGCTCTATTGTCCCAAGTCAAGGAATGTACAATTTTGGGCTACCAGTGTAGGGTGGCCAGATGTAAAGGAGTATTCCCATCATTATCCTTGTGATTTATCATAAACTCAAGCTTTGGATGTAGGAGGATGTACCTAACCATCTCATATTTTCCACTTTTAGCAGCAGCATGGAGCAAAGTTCGGCCATTTTTGTCAAGCATCTCTGTAGGATCTGGATAGTATTTTAGTAACTCTTCAACCACTCTGACATGACCTCCACTACATGCCAAATGAATGGGGAAGAAGCCATCGTTGTCCCTTTCCATGGTGCATGAAGAACATCTTTTTACCAAGAAGGAGACACCTCCCCATAGACACCGCCTGATGAAGAGGTAGGCTTCCTTCTTCATTTCTCAAGTGTATCCAATTTGGCTTTTTGCTCAGAATGGTTTGCAGCATAACTACATAGACCAGCAGTATAATCAAAACGATTTTTATTCAGTAAGAATGTTTTAGCAACATGCATGGTGAATAAATGAATGCATGATAAATGTGTGACAAGATATAGAATTACCCATATTTCTCTTGGTGAGTGTTGGAAGAAGGGGAGATTTTCCTTGAGGCTGGAGGTCATATTGGATGCAGATATCCAACAGTTGATCAACAACTTGCTTGCAACCAACCTCAATGGCCACATACAGCAATGATTTCCCTTTCCCGTTGATTGCAAATACAACTAAATTATTAACAATTTTCTTAAACTTAGCCTCCAACTCTGAATTGTCTCTTATAAAAGGATCTTCAAAAGCGTTGAAAATCAGAGCCCCAGCATGCGCATTAACCATAAATGCCTCGTGAAGAAAAGTGTTTCCTTGTTTATTCCGTAACAAGGTCAAAGACACCAAGAGCATCATCTGTAGAGTAGGTTGATCTTCATGATGAACATCTGTCTCACGTCTTGCCAAAATCAACCAAGTATTCAAGAGTTTTGAATGGTAGAGGCATGGCCTGCTCTTGCAGCAGCATGCAATGCAGTATCATAATTGCTGTTGGTCACTGCAAAAAGGTAGGGAGCTTGCTGAGCCACCTTCTCCACCATTGCATTATTTCCATGGGCGGCCGCTAAGTGTAGAACAGTATTTCCCAAAGGGGTGCGTTGTTTATAAATAGCATCGCCGGGTACAATGAAAACTCTATTTGGAGTGGAAACATCGGAACCCGTGGAAACATATGCAGCTGTAAGCAAGTTTAAATCTGTATTGGGTCCATGTTCTTGCACCACTAACTTGGGCTTCGAACCTGATGGTGAAAATCTCCCGGCCCTCCATAGTCGCATCGCTTTCATTTCAGCGTCCGAAATCGCTTGACGACAAACTTCATGCTCATGGAACGAGAACAGCAATTGTGGCAATATCTTCTGAAATGCTTGCCCTCTCTATTTGCGTCCATAGAGAACGACCTTAATAGTTACGGCAGATGGTTCGCTTGATGATGTGAAGACATAGCTCCAATTTGGAAAAAATGATGATACGTTTGATTGAACTAGTGTTTGAATCTCTGTGTATAGTATAAGAATTATTACTGGCAAAAAAGCCCAGTGAAGGAGTTCGACATACTGCTGTATATTTCAGTCTTAGGTTTGTGTGGCAGTGAGAAGAAAACATACCCTTGAAAGAAACCTGACATGTATACACACACACACATAGTTGTTTGCTTGCATATGAGTCTTTATGATTTCACTCTGACTGGTTATGAATGCAAAGCAAGAATATTGATTCGTTTTGAGTGATTATTGTAAAACAAGTACCAATAATATTTTCATTTTCAGTGCTTGTTCTTGAAAATGTTATCCCCAGCTCGGGTTCCGATCGGTCCTCTTGCATCTCAGGTAGAAGCCAAGTTACTCCATCTACAGTGCATGTTCTTGAATATGTTATCTCCAGCTCGGGTTCCGATCGGCCCTCTTGCATCTCAGGTAAAGGCCAAGTTACTCCATCTTCTCCTCAAATGGAAAAAATAAATAAATCAATTATATAAGTTAATAAACTTTGTGGATTAAGTTCCTCTAAAGTCGTTTTAGTATATAATAATATTTGTATGGATTTAATATATATTTTCTAAAAACATGTGCACTGTGTGATTAATTTATTTTGATTAAAAGTATAATTAAATTCAAAAAATTATATATACTCTAAATGTGTTAAACTTTAATCACATAAATTCTTCTTTCATTCACAGAGAAAATATATAAAATGACCCGTTTTCAGTAATAAAGGGAGAAGAAATAGAAATATAAATGATATATATTACTTTTTTGTTTCTATTTATAGAACACTAGAATATTTTTTTATTGTTAATATAAACTAGGGAAAATTGGAAATAAAAACCCCTGAATATGTAAAATTGTAATTTGGGATTCTAAATTTAAAAAATAGCAAATAAGGACCCGGTTTTACTTTTGGGTGAAATGTCTGAAATATCCCTCAATGAAATGACAAGTTGACTATGAGAAATGACAAGTTTACTTTAACGAATGACAATTTCAGTAGACCAAATCACAACTTGGCTGAGGATATGCCAAATGACGAGTTGACCATGAAAAATGACAAGTTCACTTTAGTGAATGACAACTTCAGTAGACCAAATCATAATTTGACTGACGGGCATTTTAGATATTTCACCAACATTTCATATTTGCAAAAGTGAGACTGGCTCCTTATTTGCTATTTTCTAAATTTGGGGTCCCAAATCTCAATTTTACATAATTAGGGTCTTCGTTTGTAATTTTTCCTATAAACTAACTTATTAAATTTATTATATGAATATATAATTTTACTTTTAATTTATTGTTATATATGTAAACTATTATTTTTTTCAAAAATATATATTAAATATGGGTAAAGTTGTAAAGTCATTAAATATTTAACAGAGTCATATAAGATTTAAAGTTTTCTCTTAGTTTCGATGAAATATGTTGGAAATATTTTATAAATAAGATCAAAAAAGAAATAATTGAGTTCCCAACAACAACTTATTTCATATATTTCATCCTCTAATTTTTTTAATAAAAATTTATTGCTAAAATTATATATTTATATATATATATATATGGGAAGTTTGAATTTTAATCCTAATAAAACATTTAATTAAATTGCAAATCTCTAATTAGTTAATATAAAGAAGCACATAACAAATATAGTCATGGAAGAAATTAACAATAATAGATTCAGAAAAAAAAATTAGGGGAAAATACATTTTAAAGGTAGTTGAAATACATATATTGAAAATCAGACCTATAAATTTAACAAATCCCTAATCCGTCTTTGGATTGAAATGGGATTTTAAAATGTAGGGTATTTTATCACATTTTTCTCTGCTTTTTTTTTTTTTAATTCAGCTGCATATGCCTGTGACCGGCTACCGTCTCTGTTGGCACAAAATGGTAGCACTAGTAGGCAAAGCTCTGGTAATGGCAACAACTTTACTCTAAAAATTTTATTATAAATAGTTAACTGGAATTTGTGAATTTGTAAATTAGACTAATTAATCTGTGAACCAATATAATAATTGAATAACAACAAATATTTATTGAAAATTGCAATTTTATTGCAAAAAATTTTGTTGTGAATAACTAATTAAGACTTGTGAATGGATAAATTAAAACAGTTAACAATTCACAAGTCTCTGTTAGTTACTCACAATTAAAGCTTTTATAATAAAGTTGCACTCCTCAATAAATATGTTTTGAATCACAAGATAAGTTTAGAAATCAATAAGTCTAATTTAATAATCAACAACATGTTATGAATATTATAACATGTGAATGTCCATCTCCTCTTCTTCCTCTTCCTCTTCCTCTCAACTTCATCATCAACTCCCACTACTTCCACTAGGCATTAATCTTCCACTACTCCATTACCTTTCCACTATACATTTAATCTTGTAACTCCCCCCACTCATATTCATATGGTTTATTGTCTACTATCTATCATTTAAGTACAAATGTAACTTATGTGTGAGACTATGCCTATAAATAAGGCATGTCATTGTATTGTGAGGCAAGTGAAGCAAGTGAAGGAATACAATATCATTCTCCTATTTTCTTGTCTACTTCTCTTCTCTAATCTACTTTCATTGTTGGTTAATTTCATAACACGTTATCAGCACAAGACTCTACCATCAGAGTTCATGACTCCTAGTTGATACACATTGAAGTTTTGTTCGTTGAATGAAGATAGTTTGATCGAAACAAATTGGTAAGATTTCTCCAATTTATTTAGAGGAAATGATGGTTTTGTATCTTAACCACATTGATTCATTGGCAACCGAATATTTTATTTATCGTATTGAGATATGAAAATTTTTATTTCTTACTTTTCTTATATTTTTATGATCCTACTATCCTTAATACTTCTTGATTTGCTATGAGGTTTATGTTTATCTATAAAATTACTATATATGATTATCATCTCTGATATTGGTTAATTGTTGTCTTGGAAAGTAGAATGTTAAACATATAAATGAATGGCTAATAGCCATTATATTCTTGATTTTGTGATTAGATGGCCAGAAGCCACATCACGTTTTGATGATTATTTGATAAAAGACCATCTTGTGGTAGTAACAGATGGCATGACAAGATTGTCACAATTTGATAATCTATATCAAAGTCCTGAAGATTGATGGTTTAAAAATTAAATGATACAAAAAAAACTTTGTAGTTCTGAAAATTTTGTTATAGTTGGAAGACTAATATTTGAGAAAATTGATGGTGTGCTATTGAAAGCAAGGAATATATCCGTAAGAGTGATAAAAAGTATGATCACATTGTATCAGTGGAACTGATAACTAAAAGGGCAATAATCTTTGGGCTTGATTATTAAATCATAACAGTAGAATTAGTAATAGCCCTATGATCAATATGATAAAATTATGAACAACTGTTATAATATGACCAGAAGTCATATAGACAAATATGTATCAATTCATTGAAAAGCAAATGTTAAGAAAAAATGGTTGTGGAATCAAAAAGACCATGTGATATTATGAAAATATCGAAGCTAATTCTAATGCCTGAAACAATAAGTTGTGAAGAAAGATAGATGCCCAAAGTATATATAAAAATAGAAAACATATAAGTATATGCCTAGAAGGCTATATGTATAATGTTTAATTTTTATCGGTCTTTAAATTTATTGTGATTTGTGAGAAACAAATGTTATAAGAATTTGATATTGTGATATTGATAAGTGTGTGATATAAAACTAAATAGATCAAATAGACTCAAAAGTTACTAGTTATATTTTGTTTATTTATATCTTATTTATATGATCTGATTCAATATTAGTTTTGAATATTTTAAATGTCTATAGTACCTTGATCAATATTGAGAAGTTTTGAACGTTAAGTCTTATTTGTACTTTACTTTTAAAAGTTCATTTTAAATGTTCTTCATCATTTTGTGTGTTCTCTATGTGTCTTGCAAGTTAAATCTTGATACTCATAATTATTTGTTATTATGTTAATAATATATTGAAATAGAGTTGTCTTTCATATTCCTCTTAAATTATATAGTTCTGAAGAACTAGATGTAATAGTATTAATATAGTTCCAGAAGAACTAATACTGATTTTTCTTTATGAGCAGACAAAGTATTGATAGTGAAAAATATGACCCATAGATCTATATCACAGCTTTGGTTCTCCAAAGAGTGTAAATGTTATAGTATAATTGGATCAAAGTTCGTAACTATATATGAACTAGGAAGTACTTGGGCTTCCAAGCAAAAGATAGGTTATTGGCTTTAACCTATTATATGCTAGCAACTGTTTATGAAATATATGAATAAAGGAATCATGTTTGAATGACTCAATCTTGAAGGAGAAAACTGTGAGAATACAAGTATGAGTTGATATTGGATATATTTTCATAAAATGATATCATCAATCATATATTATATTGAAAAATTTATTATTGGTAACGAAACATGGTACAGTAAACCAGAAGTTTACTGATATAATTAGATTTATTGTTGGCATGACTTGTTTGATCATCTTAAACTATATAATTATTGAAGATTATGTATTGATATCCATTGAAGAACCAGAAGATTCTTCCGAATAGCCAACATTTTTAAGAATTCGTATGTGCTGCTTGTTCTCAAAGAAAATTGATTATAAAATATCACTAGTTATGTTTTGTTTTTGAATGGATCACTATATTTCTGGAAATATATATGGGCCCATTTAGAAGCACATAAGCCATACAAGTATTCAATATTTGATAGATGTATCTATATAAAATGGTAAGATGTGTGATTGATATTAATTTGCAACCTGAAGTTTGCAAGATTATTTAGATAAATATTTCCAGACTATGTGATTCCCAAAACTTGATTTTAAAGATGCTAGTGAATTTATATATCAGGCTTTAAATGTTGAAAAGCCTGCTTAATGCCTCCGTGAATAGCTTGATCAATATTTATGAGAACAAATTTTTTCATTTTAGTGTTGGCATATTTGATTTAATAGAGTGCAGCACTTATAGACATCAAGGCAACAAAATTCTCCCAATAAAATTGGCTTTTGGTCAGGAGCCAGATATTTTTCATTTAAAAAATTGAAATGTGCAATATTTATTCCTACCAATCCACCACAATGCACATAGATGGATATTAAAAGAAAGTTGGGACATATGTTGGGTAAGAACCTCCTTCTTCTTGTTTGTCTCTAAATGGAACAAAACAATGTTCCTAAAAGAAGCAAATGGATTTAGGAGACTTATACTGCATAATTAGTTGACTGTTATTCGACAAAGTTTTCCTAACATGAGGGGGAGAAATTGAGTAGCTGGAAAAGAGAATGCATGGAATGCATTATTACTATCAAATACAGATCCTCATATATATATCAGTATGGACCAGAAGTTCATCAAAATTGCATTCATGAAATACTACAAAATATTTACTACTTGAATGAAAATTTTTAAATCTCTTATTCCAGCTGAAAATGCTCCAATTATTTTAAATATTAAGACATGCCAGAAGCATGAGAGGTTAATCGGTTCCAATATAAATATCTTGAATAAAGAGGAGCATACAACTTAGAAGTTGTATTGAGGAGGCATGTACTCTAGAAGAGTGTCAAGACATAACTAATTGTAAAACTCCAGAAGAGGTTCAGGTACCTGAAAAGGAAGAAAGAGATCTCAACAAGTTATGTCACAAAAGAAAAAATGGAACCGAAAAGGTAAAGTTGTCGACAATGATTTTCATAAGAATATCACGTGATAAAAAGAGGATCTTACATAGATCTATCATACAAAGTAGATATAAATTTGGCCAAGAAGAAAAGAAAAAGGAAAAAGATGTGATGAAAATATTATTTCGATATGTGAAAATGGGCCTGTAGTCCCAACACATATAAAGTTTCTATAGAATATATAGACGTTTATGTGAAAATATAGATTTTCACAAATGATTATGATGAGACATATTACTTTGTGGTGGATATAATTTTACATATTTGAATAGTCTGGCATTATGAAATGTGCCTGTTAGATATTATTATGACCCATGGATGAGGATCATTAATAGTGAAATTTACATGATAATCCTTGAAGGATAAAAAATATGCCAGGAGCATATATAAGAAAATCTTTCAGTATATAAAATATTATGAAGATTAAAATAATTTCAGTATGTATGATCCATTTTATAGTTTTGAATCAAAATATATGAAATTCCCTAAAGAATTTCACTTGCCAGAAGCATACAATTTAAGTTCTTGAGAACAATGATTAAGTTAAATAAGTTGCCAGAAGCAATCAGGGCGTATGTGGTATAACCGACTAAGTAAATATCGGTTGAAGAAATGATATAAAAATGATCCAATTTGCCCATGCATTTTTATGAAAAGATCTGAAAATGAGTTTGCTATATTGTTGTTTATGTTGATGACATATAATTATTAGAACTCCTGAAGAGCTTACAAAAGCTATGGATTGCTTAAAGAAAGAATTTGACATGAAGGACTTGGAAAGAACAAAGTTTTGCTTCGGATTGCAAATTGAATACTTGAGAAATGAAGATTTTTGTGTATCAAATAATTGATACAAGAAAGGCCTTAAAGTGTTTTTATATGGATAAATCATATCCATTATATACTTTGATGGTTGTGAGATTTGTGGAGGTGAATAAAGAACCTTATATATTTTGAGAAGGTGATGAAGAACTACTTGGTCCAGAAGTACCAAATCATAGGTCCAGAAGTACCATATCATATCTTATCAGTCATGCATGACGCACATATCATTTGCTGTTAACTTACTGGTAAGATATAGTTCTTCACCAAAGACATTGGAATAGAATTCTAGATTCTTTTCTGATTCACATGCTGGTAATTCCAAATAGAGTATTTATCTCACAATATCAAAAGATGGTGAAATATATATCTAGCAAATTCGTTCAAATAAAAATCTAGCAGATTTGTTCACCAAGTCACTTCCTATTACAATATTTGAAAAGTTTGTTCATGATATCGGATGTCACAGACTCAAGGATATCAATTGATGTTATCAAGAGGGGGAGTTAATACACGCTGTACTCTTTTTTCCTTGTCTATGGTTTTTTCCCACTGGGTTTTCCTAGCAAGGTTTTTAATGAGGCAGCATCAAATAGTGTATCAGTGAATGTGTACTCTTTTTCTTCTACTAGGTTTTTATCCCACAGGGTTTTTCCTAGTTGAAGTTTTTTAATGAGGCACATATCTTATATAATGGACATCCAAGGGGGAGTGTTATGAATATTATAACATGTGGATGTCCATCTCCTCTTCTTCCTCTTCCTCTTCCTCTTCCTCTCAACTTCATCATCAACTCCCACTACTTCCACTAGGCATTAATCTTCCACTACTCCATTACCTTTCCACTATGCCTTTAATCTTGTAACTCCCCCCACTCATATTCATGTGGTTTATTGTCCACTATCTATCATTAAGTACAATGTAACTTATGTGTGAGACTATGCCTATAAATAAGGCATGTCATTGTATTGTGAGGCAAGTGAAGCAAGTGAAGAAGAAATACAATATCATTCTCCTATTTTCTTGTCTACTTCTCTTCTTTAATCTACTTTCATTTGTGGTAATTTCATAACACAACAGAACTTTTACAATAAAATACCATCGGAACCGATGCTTCTATTGTCATTGCTGACGTGGCTTTGGGGAATAAAGGGGTTTTTATGTTTTTTTGGGGGGGGAGCTAAAATGGTAAATAGCCAAACATTATAAAACTTCATTTTGTACATTGATCCATCTGAATTATTTCATTTTGGTAAATTTGAATATTTCAGCTGCTCTTTAAAATGAAGCACTTACCACTGTTGATTCCATCTGCGCAATCAGTGATGAAACCCTTCAACTTTGACCGCTTCCTTTTTCCTTTTCTTTAATGCTGAAATTAGATAAGATAAATTACTAGGTCATCTCATAAAAACATACTTTATTTACAAAGCATTCTATAATTTTGTTATGAGAAGTCAAAAGAAAAATATGCAACATTGATAAGAATATATTAAATGTATTTTTAAAAATAAAGCTACACTATACAGGTACATAGATTTAATACCCATAGATATGGCTTACAAATGTGAAGTTTGCATGCATTTTAATCATAATAACATCAAAATCCCTCTACCAAGCATTCTGTTTTGGTAAGATAAATTACGCAACATTATGATAAGAATATTAAATGTATTTTTAAATAAGTAAAGCTTCATGCATGCATAAAAAAGCAGCGCACAAAGTAAACCGTGTCTATATAGTCTTTAAATGTGACTTCATTTTAATTTTAATTCTTGAAATTTTAAATGAGTGGTGTTGATTTGAAATTTTGGTCCTTGAAATCTTATTTCAGGGAAAAAAAAAAAAAACTGTTTTAGCGATCAAAATTCCTTAATCAGACTAAAATGAGATTAAATTTTAAGGACCGAAAATACTATGTTACGATACAAAAATGCATGGGCTCAAGTGAAAGAAATGGGCCTAAACCTTATTAAATGGGCTCCAGTAGTTGGTATCGGTATGCAAATGAAACTTATACGAGCGGTCCTCTATCCGTGACGCTTTCCTCTGAAACTGTCGCTTTCTCTTTCCCCTCTGTGTTGTGATTTGTGTTATTTACTCAGATTCCCTATGACTGTTCTTGAGTAATATAAGGGCTAACTAAGAATTAAGTTTAGTTTTAAATATAATATCTAAATTCACTTTATATCCTCTTTTTCCAAAATATTCCAATTAACTGATTGTAAGGAATTCTTATCAAAGGATAATTCTAATCATCCAATACATAATTGAAAATGAGTTTAGGAAAACTAATACATATTTGTGACAAATAAATCTGTCTTAACTAAACATTTTTTAATATCCTCATATTAGTTATTTAATTCTTATATTAAGGACCGGAATAGTATTTCCCTTTTCACTATTGCACTGTGATGAATTTTGAATAATACAGCACCTCCATATCTCTGTTTTATTTCTTTGTGCATTTCTGATTATAATGTCAAGTAACATCAGTGATACACACTAGTCTCAAATTTTAAGGATAAAGATAAAATGATGTCGAATTTCAGAAATTAAAAATAGCATTAACTCTTTCCTAAATCTATAATTAAATTTTGTCCCAAACAACCTCACTAATGTTATATATAAAAGAGTTTTTTATAGCAGTATTAACGATGGACTAAAACTGTTATGTTTGAAGCGAGTTTGAAAAAAAAAAAAAGAAGACATGATACTAAAATTCAGGTCAAATTAAAGAGTTGGAAGCACTCACTGTTGGTGCCTGACGACAGCGACTACCCCGGCGGAATCAGAGATAGATGAAGCATTCAATTCAATCCATCATCACTTGAATTCCTCTATTATAGGAATCAGCAGTCATCATCACTATTTGGTCTTTACTTTGAGATACGCTATCTCATGTCTTTAATATAATACTCCTCCTCCGATCCTTAATATAAGACCTATTTAACTAATTTGATTAGATTAAGAAAATTAGGTAAGTTAGTTAATTATAAGAAAAGTGACACATTTTTCGTTCTAGAACACATAATTATCTTTCTTAATACCTTTTTTCCTCTTCTATTTGATTATGGTTGAGGAGAGTATCCATAGGAGTAATTTAGAAAAAATTGATAAATATGATAAATGGGTCTTATATTTAGGACTAAAACCAACTCAAGAATTAGATCGTATTTAAGGATAGAGGAGTATAAGATTTAGTTTGCAGTCAATTTGACTATCTTAAAAAAGTTAGTTAACTTGGTTGATTATACTGTCTCTGATTTTTAATATAAAAGTTAAATAATTTAATTTTAATATTAAAAAATTAATTAAATTAGTTTTTTTATAATAAATAG